AAACCCCCATACTTGAATGCGTAAGAAGTGAGATGAAATGGATGCTTTAAAGCATCCAGGGCACTAGTGTCAAATAGAAGACAATATTGTTTTCCTCCTTTAGTCAGTTGGTTGATTCTAGAAGAGCAACCAGAAAAACACGTTTTCGCAAAGATATGCACAGGCATACTGGGACTTCTGACAGTAAAACATACACAACTGCCTGTTACGCATGTTGCTGTTACATAGTAAGCTGACATCTAGCTCACATATGCAAGGGTTATATTTAAGGTGTTGCCCGAGTCCACCTTCCACAGATTTTTCATAAGTTTGGCTTAGAAACATCAGTATAACCAACTCCTCTTTTATAAACTGAACCATGGGATATTCTACTGCAGTTACAGCAGTATGCTGAACTGCCTCCCTGATCAGCACAGCTACATCCCCATCGAGGCACAGAAGGTCAGGTGTGGTAACATATCCTAGAAACTACTGCAGTCTAAGAAGGTGATGGCAGTAAGGAAATGCACAGACTTACTTACAGTAGCGATCATCCTGACTAGAAGCACGGAATTGCTGCTGTACTCGGGTTTTCTTATTATCTTATTCTTTCTTAGTAGCTTAGATTTCTAAGAAGCTCCGAGACATTGTTTTCCATCTAAAATAAGGTAAATTAATTAAACCTGTTTGAAAGTAGTGTGGTTACTTTTAAAAACATGGTTGAAGTGTAAGCCACTGCTTTTTTTTTTTTAAACTTGCTTCCAAGCAGTGTACATGCATGCATATACTAAGATTACAGTTAATGTCAGCATAAGCCCATAGATATTGCTGTTGTACTAATTGGATATTCAGTTTAAAGGATATATAGAGCAAAGCAGGCAGCCTTCAGTGATGGAGTCCTGAGTATGAGACACTGAAAATATGAGACAGCCTTATTCATGCTTCAGTATGGTTGGGAGTTGCTACCTAGTGGCTGAAATCAGACTCGTTTCCATGCAAAATCCACAAAGCTAAAGATTCATCGACATGGAAGTTCACATTCCTGGGGAGAAGCCAGTTTTTGCTATAATAAAACTGTAGCTGCCAGTATTTTTTTTGCAAAGAAAGATTTGTGCAGTTATTATTTGTGACAAAGCAGAAATCTGTTACTCTAATAGGAGTTCTCTGTCAGAGAGCTGTCTGAGGACCTTCCTCACTATTCTATTTATCTTTCTGGTCTGCACATGCTGAAAATGGAATCTATGCTCACCTTTATCTGTTTTCTATGTTCACATCTAGATTAAATCCTTCACAAGTTTTCTTCCTCCAAAATTTCTCTTGGCTAACTAAAAACACTTTTCAGGGAAAAGAATGAGAGCAGTGAAAACCCCTTGTTTAAGCCATGCATGGGAGTGGTTTTATTCTTCGTTAAGCTATAGAATTTAGAAGTTGTAGACAAAGTGTTGCTGATACTTCTTCTTGCACCTGAAACTAAGGAAGTTATTCTGTGCAAGTCTAATTTAAATATGATGCTAACTTTGTAGACTGCAGCCAAGCACGTGCCTTACGTGTAGGTACCAATTATTAAACAGAAAGCAAACACAGATCTGAACAGCAGTGTTTATATTCCCAGCTGGCAAACTTTGTCAACAGCAATGTTCTACCACTACAAGTGCAGTACTTCTCTAGCTAGATGGGTTCTTGCATTCAGCAGAGGCAGTTAGTCTAGAACTCCTTGACTTGTGGAGTCACTACAGGCAAACTGGGGCTCGTCAGCCATCAGGCTGTGTGCATTTCCATATGGGGAGTGACGGCAGTTTCAGCTCACTACCTTGCTTTCATATGCATGTTAGGAAAAGCAAGTATTTCAGACCACAGTAACAATGTTTTGCTTTGGTTTAGTTGGTACACTGTGTAATGAAACACAGCTCCAATTCTGGACACGTGTATTCAGAGTATCTGATTCATAGAATTCAGATATACATACAATTAAAAATCATGCTAGAAGTAATGAAAAAATTAATAATGCTGTTTTCCAGGATGCTACAAGATCACCACTGTATTCAGCCATGCTCAGACAGTAGTTCTGTGTGTCGGGTGCTCAACTGTCCTGTGTCAGCCTACTGGGGGGAAAGCCAGGCTCACAGAAGGTAAGGGGCAATGTTTAGCAGCCTAAATATTCCACTTCCATAAATGCATTTATGTTTTTATAGCCTGCAAATATTTTAGCTTTGATTTTGAAAACTGATACTGGAATGCTTATTTTGCAAATTGTGTAGAGTTGGCTAGTAAAAACATTGTTGATGGGCCCTAAATTGCAAATTTTTCCTTCAGTTTTTTGTTTTTAAGTGACTATACAGATATTCCAGGCAGCTAAGCGGCTACAGTGATCAAACACACTTGATTTTAGGTGCTTTGGCTTATCGTTTCCTTTAGCCTATCTGTAATAAATACTGCCTATTTAATTCTGAGCTGAGTTTAGAAAATTGAAAAGCAACATTAAAGGAGTAGGGTACTTGAAACCAGGCTAAAATGATTCTGTGCCACTGCAGTCAGTAGTGCCCTGCCTGTAAGGAAGCTCCCTGGCTCATGTTACTTAATCCAAATTTGGTTTGTATAAACTATAAGGGAATAAATAACCACTGATAATTACATAGAGGTAACTGGTATAACACCAGCATATCTTGAAATGCAACTCAATGCCAGGGGTATATGAAAAATACCGGAAACACTTGCAGGGTTTAAAAAAAAAAAAAAAAAAGAACAAATCAGATTTTAATGTTTTGCTTAAAGGACAAAAGGCAAATATATATGCAAATTACATATAGCAGTGCTTATTCCGAGTGCTATTATACGGATGTAGTCTGTATGAGGACAGAATACCTGAAAATCAGTTGAAAAGGTATCAACACTCCTAGCGGGTGTTTCCGTTTGCCGTTTGTATCACTAAGAGATGGAACAGTAGACTGACATTTTAAAAGGCATCTGGAAGAAAAGAAATAGTAGACCTTAACCTTAAGATTAATTCCGTGAAAGTCATATTGTTCTGGTTGAGTTATAGAAGACTCAAAGTGCTAAATCTTCACCCCTTGTGGTACATGACATTTAAATTTATTGCATGAGTCTTCCTACTTATGTTGAGTGGGCCGTTTTCCAAGGCAGTCTAACCACTTAAGGACTATTCCTATTTATACTCATGTGACTTTCTTTACAGGCTGTTCGTTTAGAAGAAAGCAGCACTGAACAGTTCAGCATGTGGTTTTGGATCTGTGTTCCTGAAAGCCTTACCAGTTTAAAAATGCCTGATAATACAACAGTGTAATTACAACTGATTTTGGAAAAGTTACATGCTACTGGTGACTAATGAGCTAGAATCTCTTTTCAATAAATGATTTGAAGTGCAAGTTCTTCCTGCAAGTTTGCAGACAACTGAGCTCTATTTTTGTAATTTTACTTTTAAACAGTGTATTGTTAATTGTGTGGTGTCATTTAATATAAAACCCTTGGAGCGAGTGCTCCTTGCTCATCATCAACTACAGCAGCACAATGTGTATGGTGACGGAAACTGCTCTAAGAATGCATGCTGTGTACTTTATTACTGCAGCTACCTTAACTGCAAAGGTTGCAAAGCCTGGATAGATTTTAAGTGGCTCATTTGCTTTCAACAGTGCTTTAGTTCCTTTACTCTGCTGAGTAACATGGTGATAAATAAAAATACAGAGTTAACTCACCTTCAGCTTTTTTACTGGAATGCATGGGTTCTCCCTCTCTCTAATCTGGTTTTAAAACTGCATTTTCTATTCTACACTGAGATTTCTATACAGAAAAAAAACCCCTCTCTTCTGCAAAAGATAGAAATCATTCAGTATAGAGAAAGCACATGGTATTATAAGCAACAGTAAGTTAGCAAAACACAGCAACAACTTTAAACAGTATCCAGTCATTACAAAAACTAGTAGAGCAAAACCATCCCTATTTTCAGTATTAAATACTTACTTTTTTGCTACAAGGGAACAGGTTCAGTTAGTTTTTTTAAGCCATCCCCTTCTCAAGGGCTACTAAAAAGTGGATTGTTTTTTTAATCCTGAGGAAAACATTAGTATTACGCGTATCTTATTTTACTAAATAATATCTCAAATTATGTATCAACATCTCTTTCAAAGTATCAGGTGTCTTAGTGAGCTAAATATTGTTGGGAAATTCTATCTAACCTCTATTATTTTATGACTTTTAAAACTTGTACATTTTTAGTCAGTAAAAAAAAAAAAATCCAAAACTTGGTATTACAATTCATTGCATTTGCAAGGTAAGTTTTATTTCAGTGACTTCAAACAGTGAACACTTACAATTAATTACCAGATGCAAAAGTAGGTGTTTGATATAGAAATAGCAATTTAGTATACATGTGTTTTTGAAAAAATCTACCATATTATGTCAGTGCCATACTGAGTTTTCACAATAAAGGTTAATTTAAGAGCAAGTTTATAACGAAAGCTGCTCTTAATTGACCAGACAGTTCTCTACACTTAATGCCAGTCCATCAAATAACTGCTTTCCGAACAAAGATCAAAGTAGCAATATTAATTCACTTGTGACCTGAACACATGTGCTAAAGCCAGACTGATTCCTAGTCTCCTGTAACTCTGCCTTCTCTTTCTCTACCCTAAAAGATAAGAACTCATGATTAAGTAAATAACAAGTCAGAGAAGGTTAGTGACCCAGTTGGTTCCAGGTACTGGAAGATAAAATTTAGATAGCATAGCATCTCTAATACCGTACATGTGACAGAGGTTTTTCAAAAGCCTTAAGTTATGGGAGATACAGTATAAAGAACATGGTATGCATATAAGAAGTTGGTGGGGAGTGAGACACTGTCACAGAATCATAGAATGGTTTGGGTTGGAAGGGGACTTAAAGATCATCAAGTTCCAACCCCCCTGCCATGGGCAGGGACACCCTCCACTAGACCAGGTTGCTCAAAGCCTCATCCAGCCTGGCCTTGAAGACAGCCAGGGATGGGGCATCCACAGCTTCTCTGGGCAACCTGTTCCAGTGCCTCACCACCCTCTCTGTGAATAATTTCTTCCTGATATCAAATCTAAACCTCCCCACTTTCAATTTAAATCCAATATCCCTTGTCCTGTCACTACAGGCCCTTGTAAAAAGTCCCCCCCCAGCTTCCTTGTAGCCCCTTCAGGTACTAGAAGGCTCTGTAAGGTCTCCCCGGAGCCTTCTCTTCTCCAGGCCAAAGAAGTCCAATTCATTAATATCTTGGTGTTAGAAATGCCTTAGAATGTTCACCATTGTTCACATCGATACTTCACTACCGTTGGATCATATGCAGACAAGCATAATAATAAACCCCCACCTCCTGCAGTCTCTATCTTTGTCTGAACCCAAACACAATGGTCAGTGAGTGAAACATGTTTTCTCTAAGTATGAAAAACGGTTTTCAAGAACAAAAAATAGCATTTGCAAAACAGATGCATCACAGAAGAAAAGTATATTATAAACCCTAAAGTAACAGTGTCACTTTTCAGATTTTCTCCATTTAAAACACTGTGTTGGTCTATTTCTATTCATGTATTCTTCTGCATGAACAACTGCTTACTTCTGTTCCGTGTGTTAAACAGGCGATGGTGTCTACTGCTGCATGTTTACTCAGCTAGTACATGCTCAAGACTGGAAAAAAACAAACGGTATTGTAGAAGATGCTCAGCTCCAGTACTTCTGTATTGGAACTCTCAAACAGTCTCAAAGACTTGAGTGGAAAGGAGATAATTTACTGCCTGACCAAATGACAGTCTGTTCAGAAAGGTTCTCTCTGTTGTCTACTGATCTGATATTACCAAGACAAAGACAACCCATTATTGATGAATAAAACCCCCAAGTTTTGGTGAGTGGGCCAGACGACCCAAGCAAATAGTTTTAGGCATAAGCTTTTACTGTTTTAAGGCACAAGAATGACTAATTTTGAAGAGTACTAAACCAGTCCTACTAGCATCAATTAAAAATGTAAGTAACACGTTGACACCTCAAAATACTACATTTCCAGGTTTGTCAGTCTTAGTTCATAAATGTCATCGTAGGCATACTGGGAACAGAGATGACAGCATGTTGTTTCATCACAGGGCTGGTAACAACTATGAAGTTAATACTAAAAGCGCTAACTTGGGAAAGAGGCATTTTCTACTAGCTGTTACCTAAGATACCTTGCTCCTTGAATTCAGAGAAGCAGAGCAGGGATGTAAGTATTCAAACCTTTGCCAAAGCGTATTTGGTTTTGTGTCAGCCCAGAAATACTGTTTCTAGAATTTCCGAATACAGTGCTGTTTCTGCCTACCGAAGTTAGCACTTGTATTACTCAAAACCAATGAGACAGTCAGACAGCTCACCATGTTGTGCTATTCAGGTGTATTTGGCTTGGGAAATAACACCTTTATTTCACAGTAAACTAGTTGCACACATTTTCTGTGTCCAATAAAAATGGAAGAGAGGACAAAGTAACAAAAATATGTTTTACTTACATCACTCTAACTTCATTCTTTTCCAATTCTTAACAATCCACACCTCTGACAAAAGCATACTTCTGGTACAAATCTGCATTCTGTAGATAGCTTCAAATTTGGGTTTTGTCGGGGTTTTTGGCCTTTTTTTTTGCTTTTTAAGCAAATAAAAATGCTACGTGACAATATAAAACCAGTAAAATTATTTTTCTTTAAAAAGTAATACTAAACAGTTTTGGCAAACTGGAACTGTGGAAATAACTAATTATGTCTTTGTGTGCTCAAATCAAGACATAAAATTCTTCAGAACTTTAACACTTAAGGTAGGTAATTTGTTGTACTTCTCAGTGCAAGAAACCAATGCTTTTTAAAAAAACAAACAAACAAACAAAAAAAACCCAAACTGTTTGGTCAAGCGCTTGACTGGATGAGAAAAAACCTGCTAATATAATGATAATTTACACAGGTACTACAGGAAGTCAAATGTGACTGTTACATTCTCCTTTTCTGTAAGTTAGGAACTTCCCTGAGAGATGAATTCCAGTTATACCTAGTTTAGCACCATTAGCAGAAGTTAATTAAGTGAATATTTGATGCCTTTTTTTTTCCCCCCACGTGTTCTTAGTTACACCCTTCTCTCTTTGTTTTTCATGTTTCAGTACAGTGAGTTCTGTTACACGTATCTCTTTTTAATCTATATATTGTGCCCATTTTTCTTTATCAAATTCCCTTGCAATCTTTAAGGCAGTGCTGTTGAGTGAAACTGATTGCATATTACAGATAATACTAACAATTACTCCTCTAGGTGGTGTCACTAGCCCAGTATCTATAGCTTCAGAGTCCAGCTCTTCAGGAAGAATTAAGAGGACACTACTTGCCCCCACTGCGCCACCTGTATGAGATGCATAGTGTCTCTGCTGTCTGCAACAGCCATATTGCTGTTTTTTCTCTACTACAGCCCAAGCCATTGCATATTTACCATCCCTGTCCCACGACACTTCTGTTTTTGGCACTGGGGTCCACATCATTGCAACCGTGTCTGGTTTGAGGTACCCAGGAAGAAGTTTGCCATCAGTGTTTTTAAATTGTCCAGCTTGGTAACTGTATAACAAGGCATTTCCAAACTTCAGAAGGTCACCTACTGACGACAGAAATCCACCACCAGCCCACTTGTAAGAGTTGTCCACATATGGTGCGTTTACCAGCCGTCCCTTTTTGTTGTAAACGTAACACCTAGAATTCAAGAAAATTCAACTTGTCATTCTCGGATACCATGCACAACTACTTAAAGCTGCCCTACCTTAAAAGAGAAAACTGAGCACGTATTAGCTTGTTCTCATTTTTAAAAATTTCTTTTTTTCAAAGATTTTTTTAAAATACCTTTTTCTTAAATACACTTCTTGAAGAAAAATCAGTAAGACATTCAGATGGAAAAAACAAACATTAATGTGACTTCTAAGGTTAGAAGCTTAGTTTCAACAAAAGTACTAATCCCTCTACTTAAGGATATAAAGAGTAAAGGCAATATACAAGTAAGAGATGTGTCAGAAATCTACATCAGCCAGCACAGGACTTTTATTAAATCTCTGTACTAGATTTCAAGTGTTTTAAGAAAGAGGAATCCTACAACTGATTATCAGACACTGAGCTGAAATTTCACTTCGGTGACTGCTTTGAGACAGGAGTTTCCATTTATGATTGATTTCTCCCCACTGCCCCATTACAGTTGCCATACACTACAACAACTGAATATTCTGGAACCAATAAGGACAGTGAGAAGCGTGAAAGGGTCTTGCAAAACGTGTCACTAAAATACAAATTAGAAACTACCAGCCAGAACTGCAGAATAAACTATCAGAAACAAGACAAGTAAAGACTGAATTAGGCTTTTGA